GATGAAATCCCACTGGGAGCTGTAAGGAACAGTCTGCCTGAGTCTCCCACTGCTATGGCCTATACCTGCTGTAGTATCAGGACTGTACCTAGTGGCCCCCCTACATGGGGCTGGAGCACATTTCCACTGTAAAAATTATACCAAAGATATCTCAGAGTAGAAATCTGCACACCTCTTTACTGGCCAATGGCTAGAATCAGAGGGCGACTCTTATCTGACTTGGGCTTGGCTGCCATGGAAACCTGCTGTTGTTTGTGCAAACACCTTGAAAACTTTGAAACTTGATCCCTGGACAGGCCAGGTGCCAGGTCCTTTCCCACTTTCACTAGTTGACTTTGCCCCATTCCTAGCAGGAGCTGACAGGATTGTCACTCTTCAGCCTCTAGTGGAGGTTAAGCAGACAGCAACTGGCAGGTGCTCTGCAGAGATCAATTCTCAACACAGAAGAGGCCCTGCCTGTCATGCATGGATGCCCACCTCTTCCTCATCGGGGTTCACTTCGAGACCCAGGGCAGCACCCACCAACTGCTGCCAGGAAGGAAATGTTTTATTACCATGTCTTTGCTTCTAATGCTCTTGTGAATACCTGGGGTCTTGACCCCAGGTCTAATGCTAGGACTTCATAGGGGCCCTGGAAGCCACATTCTGATGAGTTTGGTGTAAAATGAGTTGGGTTCATAGGGATTTAATTTCCCTTGAAAATTGCTCAGCCTTGAAAAATAGAATAAAGGTTAGTGGCAAAATGAGTGCTCAATCCTTGCCAAGTCCTCAATAAATAATAAATTATTTATTTTTTGTTCCAGGAATTAAACTCGGGAGTGCTCTGCCACATCCCCAGCCCTTTGATTTTTTTAAATTTTGAGACAGTCTCACTAAGTTGCTTAGGCTTTCAAACTTGGGATCCTCCTGCCTCAGCCTCCTCCTATGTTGCTAGGATTATAGGTGTGCACCAACAAGCCTGGCTCAAGTTTGTCTTTAAACTGAGGAAGATCATTTATTGTGATGTCTATTAACCTTGGTACTTGGCCTCATCTCATCCAGTAGGGTCAGGAAAGGAATTGAGTCTTTTCAGATCTCTATAACTTGGCTGGAAGTGGGGGCTGCGATGTGTAATTAGATTATTTCACTAATGAAAAATTTCTCAGAAATGTATCTTAATTTTGTTGTTGTTTTGTTTTGTTTTGTTTCCTTCTCATAAATACCACATAGCAGGGAGTTAAGGCCCCAGGCTTGCCTGGATTCAATTTTTCTTCTCTGGCTTTGTCGTAAGGATGCTGCCCAAACACATGGTGGGAGGGATTTTTTTTTCCCCCCAAACAAAGGAATCCTTCTGTGCTTTGTGGCTTTGTCTGGGGGCAGCCCACGGGGACAGCTCATGTGTGTGGAATTTAGGGAGACCTACCCCTCACACCCTTTTTCTGTTCCTCGAGCATTAAAGGCAGGAGGAATTTAGGAGCCTGATGTGGGACACATAGCCAACCTTTCCACTTGCTTATCTTTCCAGGACAAAGACTGCGGGCCTTTTATGCTCACCCTTTCCCCTCTGCCCTGACCACTGCCTTCCGAAGGCACCCGGACACCTCCCCCTGGCTTGGAGCTGCCCTTGCTTCTAGGCAGTAGACATTCTTAGGGCAAAGTTGGTGCTGGATCCTGGCAGGGTGTTCTCAGAGGAGAAGGAAGCCTTGGCAGAGGTGCCAGGCCCTGGAAAAGTTAGACTTCCGATGGAGCAACAAGCAGCTGCTTCAACAGCAGCAGTACAACCGTGTTGAGAAGTGCTCAGCAAATGATGGCTCAGATGCTACAGCTCAAGTCTATATTCCAATCCCAGCTCTGCTGCTTACCAGCTGAAACCTCTCAGGAAATGCCCTCTCTGCCTCAGTGCCCTCATCTGTATAATGGGATCATAACAAGAAACTTCAAAAATCAGATACCTACACTTCCCCTTCTCACCTGCCCCCCCTGCCCCCCGCCTGACCTGGGTAAACCCTCAACTCAGAACTGTCAGGAAAGGGGCTGCCTGAGTGATCCCAAAGTGGAGTGGAAGGGGTGACCCATTGTGGGGAAAGGTGGCTAGCAGGGAAGTTATTTAGCACAGTGGTTATGAATACAGGCATGGGCTTCCCATCCTGGCTCTGCCATGACCTCAGGCAGCTCACCATCCTCATAGAAAACTGTGCCTCGGTTTTCTTTCCAATGAAATGGGATGGTGGGACTCACCCCATAGAATGTTCTGAGCATTAAACAACAAAATCTGTATAGAGGGCAAATCTCAGTGTCCAGTCCGTTATGAGGGCTCACAAAATGTTATTGGTGTAAGGTGACTATAATTGTTCATCAGTGGGAATGGTTGGGATGGGCCAACCACAGAACACTGAGCTGGGATGTCAGGGCCTCGGGGCATGGCCCCAATGGTGGGAGGAAAATTGAGTCAGATGTACTTGGAAAACTAACCCCCCCACACACAACCTTTGTCCTTTTAGAGTTTCAGCCACCCTTTCCCCTTAATACAGGCCTAGACCAAAGACAGACCTTCACAACTTAATTTTTCCAAGTATGAAAATTTTCACAACTAAGACTAATGGTAGGCTCAGAGACACATTATCCCTATTTTTTTTTTTTTCCTAGAGGAGTGTACCAAAACTCAGGTTGAGTGACTTGCCCGAAGTCACGCAGGTAGTAATTAATGGTCAAGCCTCAATTTAGGAAAAGGGCCATGAAGTTTACACTGCTCCTAGACTCAGGGAACAGATTTCAAAAGCAATTCTCCTCATGGACCATCTGCTGTCCTTAGGCCCATTGGAAGGCATCACTTTGAGGACATCTTTCTTTTCTTTTTTTTAAAGAAATTGTATTGAGCTGAAATTATTTTTTTAATATCTTTATTTTTATTTGTTGATTTTTATGTGGTGCTGGGGACCAAACCCACTCATGTGAGGCAAGCACTCTACCACTGAGCTACAACCCCAGCCCTTGAGGATGCTTTTCTATACCTTCCCCAATTCTCTACCCTTCGCGGGATTGATTTGTCTACCAGGGTTCACCTTAGATTGCCTGAGGGCAGTGCCTGAAATAGGAAAGGCGTGAGGTCTCTGAAGGCCCATGAACACCTGCCTCTGCCTCTCTACATTCAGGACACCCAGACTTACCAGTCCAGGGGTAAGGACAGCCTGTGCTTTGCCTGTCTTCATCTACCTTTGGCTCAGTGCCTGGCACAGGGTCAAGAAAACATGAATTTTCTTGAATGAATAAACAAGAATACAGCTGGCAGCGAGCAGAGGCTTCTTGGAGTTCCGGGATCATACCCATTCCCCATGATGGTTTGACCCCAGACTCCTGCCGCCCTTGGCCCTGCAACTCCTGATTCTTCCCTTCATTCCTCACCCGACCTGCCCCTGCAATGGGGCCAGTATGAAGTGTGCCTGTTCATAATTTCCCTGAGCACATTCTGAGCACTGTGCTAGGCACCACCCCTAGACATGCCCTGAAGATAGATAAGGTTCTGGGCCAGACAGGGCCTGGAAGCATAAGCTCTGTGGGGCAGGGCGTTTTGCTGGTTTTGTTGACTTGCAGCTCCTAACAGAGTGTAGGCCCTCAGGAAAGAAGGAGTGGAACGTGTACCCTGGTCAGGAAGCCTGGATTCTAACCATCGGTGACCACTATGGGTGCTCAACCAAGACAGATCGCACTTAGTCTACACTTAATCTTTCCAGATTTCCCAATCTCCCTTCCTGCCATCTCACCACAGGGGCATTCTGCAACTGTGGGTTGCATGATGGGTGACTCCCTCCACACACCAGCTGTGGCCCTGGCACATCATAGCATTTATCCACACATCCAGTCTTTCCTCCCCCACTCTGCCTGGCTAATTCAGGTTCGCAGTCTCTGTCAAAGGTCACTTCCTCCAGGAAGCCTTCCCTCCCCTCCACCCCCCAACACACCTTGTTAATGATTCTGTCCCTCCTTCTCAATTGTGAAACCTCCCTGTCTCTCCTTATCGGCCTTTTGGATCTGACTCGGTGCCCAGTGGAGTTGAGAGCAAATGAATGTTTGTCAAAGGGATAAACGATAGCACACCCAGCAGAGTGGAAAGACAGTGGTCCTGGAGCATTGTGGGTAGCCTCCTTCTCTCTGGTATTCACCAGACAGGCCCTGGTCTGGGAGGCAGAAGGTGCGAGGGTCCAAAGGCTGACTTCAGGGTGCTGCTGGGCATCTGGTGAGCCCTCCTCTGCTCCACCCTGCCTGTGCCCTCTTGTGGTTGTCACGGTCCCCGGGAGTTTTGTGTCTATGACATCCATGGGTTTGGGAGTCGATCCCAAAGTAACCACTTAACATTGTCAAGTCTCAGTTTTCCTCACCGAGAAATGTGATGTTAACCTGTCTGCAAATCACTCTAGAACTGAGATAAAGCAGGGAAGCCCCAGCCTAGGGTCTGGCACGGAATGGGTGGCTCCCTCCACACACCAGCAGTGGGCCCTGGCATTTCTCCACACATCCATTTCCCTATCTGGAAGGAGCCATGGATACCCTAGCAACACAGTGATGGTTGAAGACAACTGGTACCCGATTGGTGCTTGTTAAAGTTCAGCTGATTTTGATGGAGGGTTGCGTAACACTGTCAACTCATTCTCCCAATACCAAGGGGGAGTTCTCAATATTATTCCCCTGTGTGCTGAGTCCACTGGGTTAACCAAATGGCAGAACTCTGTTAGGAGCTGAGCTGCAGAATTGCTATGTTTCTAGAAGCTTCCTGCAGGTGGCATTTGGGCTTCCCTTGGGTGCCTACTGCATAGTAGATGTACATCAAGGTTTGCTGCAAGGAATAGAGGCCCTGGCTCCCCATCCACCTCTTGGGGACTCTGGGCATGAGGTGAAGGCCTGGGCCTGAGACCTTTGGGGGAAGAACAAGGCTCCTTGCCAGATACCCTGGGGTGAGCCTATGTAGCCAGGCTCTGCTCCTTTTTCTAGCCTGCTCTGTGCTTCTGCCTGTGGGTGGCCAGAGTCCCCTCACCAGCCCAGCCCCTCCTCTCCAATGGGGCCTTGTCAACCCAGCCCTCATTGGCTACACGTTTCCTTGGAGACTGACACCAGCTACTCAAACACAGGCCCCAGAACTATGGGAAGAATCTTTCTTTCTTCCCTCCCTGACCCTCCCCAGCCATGAGGGAAGTGTCATTCTCCCAGAACCAGGCCTGCTGGCAAGAGCACATCCAAAAAGAGACTGCTGCCCGGGTTGCCTGGAATATCCACTATGGCCACAAGTTCCTGAAGAAGGGGACCAGGGCCAAAAAACAGCCCAAGCAGGCCCCCTTCAGATCAGCCCCAGTAGCAGAGCACTGTGCTAGGCACCACCCCTAGACATGCCCTGAAGATAGATAAGGTTCTGGGCCAGACAGGGCCTGGAAGCATAAGCTCTGTGCTACAACTAAGCAACTCAACAAGACCCTGTCTCTAATAAAATATAAAAAAGGACTGGGGATGTGGCTCAGTGGTTAAGTGGCCCTGGGTTCAATCCCTGGTACAAAAACAAACAAACAAACAAAAACTAGGTCTGAAAAATGACTCAGTTTGAAATTAGGAGACTTTGGTTTGACTTCTGTTTCAGTCATTCATTTTTTTTTTTTTTTTTTTAGTACCAGGAATTGAACTCAGGAGCACTCGACTACAAGCCACATTCCCCAACCCTTTTATGTATTTTATTTGGAAACAGGGTCTGACTGAGTTGCTTAATGCTTTGCCATTTCTAAGGCTGGCTTTGAACTCTCAAACCTCCTGTCTCAGCCTCCGGAGCTACTGGGATTACCGGTGTGCACCACCACGCCTGGCTTCATTCATTCTTTCATTCAACAAATGTTTATTGAGTATGTGTCAGGAACTTTTGTTCCTGGGAATATATCAGAGAGCAAGATTAGACCAGAATCTGCACTCGAAGGGGTCAGGCCACAAATAGATAACACAATGTAGGTCAGGCAGTGAGGTCCATGCTGCAAAGTGACACTTTTGGATCTTTACTGTGCATGAGGTCATCAGTGCAGTCTTGTTAAAAGGCATGTTCTGATCCAATAAGTGGAGGGGCTATGGGAGAAGATTCTGCATTTCTAACAAGTTCTCAGATGCTGCAGCTGCTGCTTTGGAGACCACACTTGTAGTGTCTAAGGCTGTTAAGAGGAGTTAACTGAGGATGTAGAGGTTGTGGCTAAGGGTACTGTCCTGGTAGATGGCTTTCTGGGGAAAGGACATGGGAGCTGAGTCCTGGGATAGGATGTACTTCACAGGACTTCTGGAGGAAGGGCCTGACTGCCTGCGTTCACAGTTGGTCTCTGTTTTAAGTATTGTGCAACATCTTCCTCTTCTGCTCTAGTCCCTGGGTCCATATCCACAGCCTGTGAAGCCAATGCCAGTGAAAGGTCACCAGCTCTAGCAAATAAAAATGCAGAATACCTGGTCTCATCTGAATTTCAGATAGCTGAACCTTTTTTAGTGCAAGTATATCCTAAATACTGCATGACAACTCTAATAAAAATTGAGTCATGTTTATCTGCATGTTTTTTTTTTTTTTTTTGGTACTAGGGATTGAATTTAGGAGAGCTCTGCCACTAAGCCACATCCTCGGGCCTTCTTTATTTTTTATTTTCAGACAGGGTCTCACTTAGTTCCTGAGGCCAGCCTCAAACTTGTGATCCTCCTGCCTCAGCCTCCCTAGTCACTAGCTATTTGCATTTCCAACGTAATTGGACATTCTGCAACCCAATCACTGGAGTGCCAATACCCACATCAGAAGGCCTGATCTTGGATGCTCCCTGAGTTCTAAGGCAATTTCAGTTTCTAGGCAGAGGTAGAGAGATTGTTTACCTCTCTAGGGGTTCTACTTAAGCCCACAGTTGCGGCCAGAATCACTGGATCATTCTGTAAGCCCCTGGCCTCACACCCCGTACCCAAGTCCAGTTCATGGATGAGTTGGAGAAGAGATGATAGACTACTTCTCCCCTTCCTACCACAGTTAGGAACTACATCAACTAGTGGATACAAATAGACACAGGGAAGAGGAGTTGAAGGCATTGTCTGGGCTCCAACTAGGTCAGACACAAAATGCCCTTGTATACTTATAAAGTGTCAGTTTAGTGCCTGGCACATAGTAAGTGCTGAATAAATGATATCTGGTATTATTGTTGACTCAAGAGGCAGTATTTACAGCTTACAGGCATTTGGGAGCCAATTTGGCCTTGGATCAGACATCAGAGCTCTTACTATGGAGCACTGGGATGAGTGGGGTATCCCTGATAATGGGAGAAATGTGATGATGGATTGGAGTGAGGAGAGGGGTCCAATAAGTTAACCATTGGCATGACGTCAATGTTATCCATCAGCGAAAATTCTGTTCATGGTGCCAAAGCAGGATCTTGGGGTTCTCATGCTATCTGAGGTATTAGCCTTCAGTTATTGGATCATAGGGAGGCCTGGGATAGAGGTCAGGAAGCATAAGAGGGCAGTGACTATTCCTAAGTGACAGAAGTATTTCCATAGTTGTTACACTATATCTCTGCTGGCCCCCAGTTCTTTGGGTGGGGTGGTGCTGGCGGGAGGATGGTGAACCCTGGTCACCCAGGTCTCTGCTGTGTTCCAGGGGATGCCATGAAGAACTTCACAACATCTCCGTATGCCAGGACCCAGACCATTGCAAAGACATTTTACCTCAAAAGTAGCATCTTCCATTTACCACGGCGAACAGACCAGCTCATGTGAAGTTGGCTGGGGAAGGGCCCTCAGCTGCTACTTTCCTTCCTCCTTGATCTATCTGGATCCTCCAGGGGACATGCTACCAGCTAACCCTGCCCTTCACTCTGCCTTTTGCTAAGCCCTACCTCCCTGGTTATGTGTGGATGGGCATGAGTGTGGCTCTAATGCAGATGGACCTCTGGGATGTACAGTTGACCCCCCCTAACCCCACAGGTTCTTGTCTGTGCTTGCAGACCTTCACTCCTTGCAGACCTGCCCATACCCTACCATCATCAATAAGGCCTGGGCACTGGTGCTCATTTCTTGGGGAATCAACAGAGTCTCACTGTGCTCTATCAGCACACCTGGGGGTGGGGGAGGGGCTCACCAAGTCCTTAAGGTGCTAATGGGGATGTGTGTGTGAATAGCTCCATGCTTTTTATTTCTCTACAGTCCGTTGTAGGGATCCAAATCAGAGTTGCTCTATCCCAGTGTATCCCACAGTTTAGTGAAGAAATAGTTTTCATTTCTTCTTACTGTTTCTCTCACACCCAGGAGCCTGCATTAGTCAGGTTGTTATAGCCTCACTGCTATAACAAAAAGCTCCTAAATCCCAGTTGTTAAAACCAATAAAGATGTATTTTTTACACCGTAATCCAATTTGATGTTCGGTGGACAAGGGTCCAGATGCTGATCTAGGAAAGGCTTCCCTCGTCTGCTGTCTTGGCCATTGCCTAGGGCCTCAGAATCCTTCCCAGAGTCCTCTACATCCAACTGGGGGACAAGGAAACATGGAGTGTAGAGACATGCACTCAGTCTTAACCACCTTGGCCTTCTCCTGGAACTGACAAATGCTATGTCCTCTAACATTCTATTGGTGAGAACAAGTCACATGACTTCTAGGTGAGAAGAAGCCTGGATTGGTCTATAATTGTGTTTCAGTCAGCCTTTTGTCCCTGTGACAAATACTTAAGAAAAAGAACTTGAAAAAAAAAAAGGTTAATTTTGGATCATAGTTTTGGAGGTTTCAGTACGTGGTTGGCTGGCTCCAAGATACAAACACTATGGTGGAAGGGAGTGGTGGACGAAACCTCTCAGCATATGGCAGCTGGAAGGCAGGAAAGGAGAGAGAGAGAGAGAGAGAGAGAGAGAGAGAGAGAGAGAGAGAGAGAGAGAGAAAGGAGGAGGAGGCTGGGTGTGGTGATGCACGCCTGTAATCCTAGCGGCTCAGGAGGCTGAGGCAGGAGGATGAGTTCACTAAGCAACTAAGCAACTCAGTGACACCCTGTCTCTAAATAAAATACAAAATAGGGCTGGGGATGTGTCTCAGCGGTCGAATGCCCCTGAGTTAAAAGTTCAACCCCTAGAACCAAAATTAAAAATAAACAAATAAATAAAAGAAAGAAAGAGGAGAAAAAAAGAAGGGGTGGGGGACAAATTATAGTCTCAAGGACACCCCCCCATAGCCAACTTCCTCCAACTATGTGACTGCTTATAGTTTCCACTGTCTCCCAATAATCCATTCAAATTATTAATCCACTGTTTAGATTTTAGTCCTCATGATCCAGTCACTTCCCAAAAGCCCCACTTCTGGACATTGTGTCCATAGGACCAAAGTCTTTAACTCATGAGACATTCCAGATCCAAACCATAACACTGTGTGCCCAGAAAAAGAGGAGAAAAGATTCCCAAACCTCTAGCCTGTCCCTTCCCTGAGGATGGATTTTTTTTTTTTTGTTTTTTATTGGTTGTTCAAAACATTATAAAGCTCTTGACATATCATATTTCATACATTTGATTCAAGTGGGTTATGAACTCCCATTTTTACCCCGTATACAGATTGCAGAATCACTTCGGTTACACATCCACGTTTTTACATATTGCCATACTAGTGACTGTTGTATTCTGCTATCTTTCCTATCCTCTACTATCCCCCCTCCCCTCCCCTCCCATCTTCTCTCTCTACCCCATCTACTGTAATTTATTTCTCTCCCTTGTTTTTTTCCCTTTCCCCTCACATCCTCTTATATGTAATTTTGTATAACAATGAGGGTCTCCTTCCATTTCCATGCAATTTCCCTTCTCTCTCCCTTTCCCTCCCACCTCTCATCCCTGTTTAATGTTAATCTTTTTCTCATGCTCTTCTGAGGATGGATTTGAGACACAGTCACCATCCTAAATTCAGTTATCTCCTGAATTAGTTTCCTCAGGCTACTGCAACCTGAGTGTCTCAAAACCACAAAAAATCATTATATCATAGTTCTGGAAAACCAAGGTGTCCGCAGGGCCATGTTCCCTCTAAAACCTGTAGGGGATGCTTCCTTGCATCCCTAGCCTCTGGTGGTTTGCTGGCAATCTTTAATGTTCCTTGGCTTGAAGCTGCATCTCTCTGACCCCTTCATATCACATAATGGTCTATCTGTGGTCTGTCTTCACATGGCTGTCTTTTTTGGGGAGGAAGGGGATACTGGGGGGTTGAACTCAGGGGCACTCAACCAGTGTGCCACATTTCCAGTCATATTTTGTATTTCATTTAGAGACAGGGTCTCACTGAGTTGCTTAACACCTCATTTTTGCTGAGGCTGGCTTTCAACTCACAATCCTCCTGCCTCAGCCTCCCTAGCCACTGGGATTACAGGTGTGCGCCACCACTCTGGACCACATGGCTGTCTTATAAGGACATCTGCCATGTTGGATTAGGGCTCAACCTACTCCTGTATGATCTCTTTCCTAATCACATCTGCACTGACCCTATTTCCAAATAGGTCACATTCTGAGGTACTGGTGGTTAGGACTTCAACAGCCTTTGTGGAGGGACACAATTCAGCTAAGCTTGGCTACTGGGACCGTGTTGATGGTCCTTCCTCTTTTTCTTGGTAAGTGGTCTTTTGCAGAATCCCAGATCATGTAAAGGTCCATGCAAGTCCATTGGATGTTGATGCCCATAGCCTTTCACAGCTTAAAAGGCCTCAGGGCATAGCTAAGTATGGTGGCACACTCCTATAATCCCAGCTACTCCGCTTGCTAAAGCAATAGGATTGAAAGTTCAAGGCCAGCCTGGGCAACTTAGTGAGACCCTGTCTCAAAATAAAAAATTAAAAGGGCCAAGGGTGTTGCCCAGTGGTAGAGTGCCCCTGAGTTCATCCTCTGTAACAGGGGATGGGGGAGGCCTTGGGCATAGGGAGCCCAAATAGTCATCTCTGTGCATAGCTCTTTGCAAAACCAAAATGCTCATGCGTTGGTACACCTTGTTTAATCAGAGCATCGTGGTACCCTCCTCTATCCCCACTAGGTCCCAAAGCCCAACTATTCAACAATGCTGTTGCAGTGCAGAGGCAGCCATGGACGACAATATAAAACAAGGTGGACTTGACTGTGTTCCAATTAAACTTTATTTGAAAAAAAAAAAAGATGGTAGGTTAATTTTGATCCACAGACTGCATTTTGATGTACTCTGGGTTAAATTTAAAAAATATATTTAAGTTGATTTTACCCCCCCCCCCCCATGTGTCTGCTAGAAGATTCTAGGTTGCATATTGACTCACAGTGTATTAGTATTGGACAGAACTAAGTTAAGCATTTTACAATTTTAATTCTGGGGGTTAACTTACCTTGGGAGAGGGATGAGGTGGGGTGTATGGTGTGTGAATTCTCATGACAGTTTAGAGAGCTCCCTAGCCTGGTTCCCCACTTCTGAGTGTGGATCCCTGGAGCACTCCTGACTGCTTCCTGCTAATATCTTGACCTGAGGCTTCTAGTCCTAGATTTCCCTTGGGATTAAAGGGAAGTTCCTTGAATGGCCACCAGGTGATGCTATTAGTCTACATGGTCTCTGCCTGGTTCTGCCACCACTTTGCTGTGTGGTTTTTGGACTTCAATTTCCTCCCTTGTAAAATGGAGTTAGACTAGACTAGTGAGAACATGAACTTTGGAGGCAGACAAAATTGAATTTGAATTCCAGCTCCATCAGCACCTCAGTATGACTTTTGTGGGTCCCAGGTACTTTTCCTTTTAGGTGCCTTCCTCCATCAAAATTATTTTAAAATTATATTTTATAATGATGTCTGATATAAAGAAAAAAATACTGCATATTAAAATTTTTCTTCAACTAAAAGTTTATCATTTCTGTGGCTCCTAAAATTACTGTTGTGCCTACCTTGCCCAATGGATGAGTCAGTTCTGTCCTCCTCTGCCTTAGTTGTGTGAACTTAGGCAAGTTGTTTAACTTTTCTGAGCCTCAGTTTCTTCATCTTCAGAGTTTGGATGATATCAAACCCCACCCTTTAGTGCTAGGATTGAAATTCAGTGAGATAGTGTACCATGCCTTCTTAAAACACAGCCTAGGGCTGGGGATGTGGCTCAAGCGGTAGCGTGCTCGCCTGGCATGCATGCGGCCCAGGTTCGATCCTCAGCACCACATACAAACAAAGATGTTGTGTCCACCAAAAACTGAAAAATAAATATTAAAAATTAAAAAAAAAAAAAAAACACAGCCTAGAACAGAGGAGGCTTTGCAAATGTCAGCTATTATTTGTTATTTTTGTCTTCTTTTCCACTCTAACCTCTGTGAATTGATGAACAGATCTCAAAACAAGCAGGGATCTCAAGGCAAATATCTCAGAATAATAAAGTGAAGTTTCCAGTGTATTTGATGGAGAAAGTAAAGAGTTTTCTAGAGAACAAAGTGGCAACAGACGTTTTTGCAAATGAACACAACTCCCTCCTGCCTTCAGAGAACTCATGTGAGGCAGGAACATGGGCTTAACCACCCAACCAGAAGCTGAGCTAGCTGGAGAATATGTACCAGAAAAGGGAATCCTTGGGAAATGTGTGTGTATGTGTGCATGCGCTCACGCATGCATGTTGCATACATATATCCTTGCTTCCTTACATTTCCTTTGTTTTACTTTATTTCAGTAACTTCCCTGGACTCCTAAATCTTGAAGCCAGAGGTACCAGGGTCCTGTGGGTTAGCTGACTCTGTCAGGATCATTCAGGGAAGCTTGGGGGATTATTCAGAATGCTGACTCTTTCAAAATCATCATCATCAGACTTGGCAACAGATGAAGGTGTAAGCCTTTCTTAGCGGATCTGATTTCCACCCACACCTGC